TTTTCCGATCATGGACGTCGCTCCGGGCCCGAATGAGTCAAACCCCGGCTGACGGCACGCGGGAATCGGGTGCTCCTGCGAGGGGGAAGAAAGGGAGAGGATGGCCGGCGTGAGGCGGCAGCGAGTGAACTTGCTCTAACCGGGGGCCCTGCGTGCGCCTGGCCTGGAAAGAAGCCCTCCAGGCCAGCAGGACTTCCAGAAACACTGGGGCTTTTGTGATGCACGAGGATGGGGAGAAGCGAGCGGGAGAGGCGCAGCTGGGCTGCCCTGCTCAGCTCTTTTTCTGATTAGCCAAGCAGGCCTTCGCGTGGCGCATGAACGGCATCCTTTTCTTGGGCAGCTCCGAAAAGGGAACTGCTGACGCGCCCGATGGCTCCTTGCGAGCGGGAGGCGCGGCGGATCGCCCTGCAGAGGCCGGAGGCGGCGAGGGCCCGCGGGGAGCGCGCTCGGGCGGGCGGCGCTCGGGCCCCTCCGCGCTCCTTGCCCCGCGCTCACGCGCTCGCCTTGCTCGCACAAAAATTGGGTTATGCTGCCGCTTAGTGGAGATAAATATCTTGGAAAAAAAAAAACCCTGGGTGTTTGCAGAAATCCCCCTTTTCAGTCCACTGTCTGCTCAGTACCTCCGTGTGCGCTTTTTCTTGAAGATTCACACTTTCCATTGCTGGTTTTAAGAGTGATCAGGTGCAGCATGTTTCCTGCTTTTCCTCTGCTGATGAGGAATGTTTTGTTGCATGGATCCTGAAAAGGATTCTTTGGAGCTGGAGGCCAGGGGGTGTTTTCTGCAGGTGTGCTAAACATATTAATTGGTCACCCGTGTGTTCCTTCCGAGCCCCCTGCCCCACTTTCTTTCAGTGCACTAAATACGGTCAAAGCTGAGTGTCACACAGGAAGTGGCAACCTCCCTCTCTCTCTCTCTCTCTCTCTCTCTCTCTCTCTCTCTCTCTCTCTCTCTCTCTCACTGCTGCCTCATACCATGATTTGGAGGTCTGGAGATCGGCATCGGGGCTTTTTTGTGGTCATCTGTGAAAACAGAGACTCAGTCAGATACAAGATCACATGCCAATGTCCATTTTTGTGCAGCAAAAAAAGGCGTCATGTGAATTCCCAGTGGAAGGCCGGGACTCTCTCGCTCTCTCGGTCTTTCTGGGGAAAGGAGCAAAGTCTTAATGAGGCTGCAGTCTGAGGAACCAGAACTGGCGGTGGGCTGAGTTGGCCCCCAGGGCGTCCAGGTCAGGGCCACCTGCTCTTACTGGCAGTCCTGAGGCTGCCCGAGCTGGAGGTACCCTGGATGGGGGGCATTCTGCCCATAAAGCACATGCCCCTTTCCCAAACAGGTTGGATGCCACCGCAACACAACGGCTTCCAGTTGCTAAACAACCCTGGATCCCAACCCTAATGCTCTGCTCAGCCCTGGATTCCAATCCGGCTGACCCCGAGGTTCTTTCTCTGGACAGGCCCCGTGCCACCCTGGACCACGCCGAGCTCTTGGTTCGCCCCTAACACGAAGCCACCCAGGGATGGAGTGTTCCCGGTTTGGCTGGGCCCAGCGACTTGGAGTGGGAGAAAGCGGGTGGCTTGCACAGGCAAGCTTACTTGTTTGCAACCACACAGCCTTAAAAAAACAAAACAAAACAAAACTGGATTTTCATGATGTCTAGGTCAAGCCAAAATGGGCAGCCTATATTCCAAAAGAGATCTAGCTTCTATGTAGGAATGCACAAGGTTTGAAATGCTAACGTGTAAACATGCCGGCTGTTGGGTGCGGCAAAGTCTTTGGACAGGGACAGGAAGAGGAAGCAGAGACATTGACTCAGGAGCTGCTCGTGATAACCAGATGGCCGTAAATCCAGGACTGGGCTGAGTGTCACTTTGCTGAGTGTTACTCATATGTGGCTAGAATGTATTGCACCAGCCTAGGAGGCGGGAAGGCCACTCCAGACAGCTTTCCAAAGGCCCGGTTCCCGTGTCGCCCCAGACTGGGACAAGGCATCGATACAGGAGCGGGAAGGTGCTTGTGTGACACCCACGAGGCTCCAGCACCCCTCTTCTGCTCTCCTGCACGTCTGGAGAAGGAACACGCCAGGATCTCGCTTTGCGGGAGCAGGTCCCTGCTTCTGGGCCCACGTCCATCCACGGACGGCCCAGGAATCTGCTCGAGCAAACCTGACCTCGTGTTCAGTTGGCCGAGAGCAGAGGAGCCGTAACGCGCACATCGGGCGCTTCGCCTGGCCCGGTCCTGCTTGCACGTCAGCTTCCCGGGGTTCATCAGAGGGTGGGCCACCCAGAGAGCGAGCACCGAACCAGCAAGGCCTGTGCTCTGGTCTCGCATGGGAGGTTTGGCTTCTTTTGAGATCAGCAGAAATGGTTGTTGTTATTAATTTCATTTCTGTTCCTTCCCGTACCCAAGTTACCTGGATGGTTTGCAACAGGACATAAAACAGAGAGTACACATATCATTACAAAGGATAACGTAAAGATGGTTTTAAAATTGTTTCAAAATAGCTGAAAAATATACCTTCAAAAAGACTCTGCAAAGGTCTTGCTGGTGGCAGAATGTGCTCCCAGACACCCTTGCTTTCAAAGGTCTGGAACCGTGATTTGCCTCCGAGGCACCAAGAACGCCCAGGACGAGTCGGGATGAGAGCTTTGCCAAAAGCCAGGAGGGGAAACCCAAGGGGGTCTTTCTGACGCCACGGAGAGCAGGCCTGGGCAGGGCCAGCTCAGTGCTGTTCCGCAGCCACAAGGGCCCCGTCCAGGCTCTGCTGACGCCCTGCTGTTTAAGGGGGTGGGAAATCGGGGGGGGGGGCAGATGATGCTGGGCTATAGAGACCAACGGACCGCCTGGCCATGGCATCCTGGCGCTACTCCGAACAGCACAGCAAGTGGGCCAATGCCGGGTCAGCCCCTGGCCGGCCGGTTCCGTCTGTTCCTGCTCCAGGCAGATGTTCCTGCCCTGCCAGGGATTCTGGGGGTTGCGCTTGGGCCCCCACCTGCAGCCGTGGCCGCCGCAGCCCTTCCCGGAGCTCCTCGGCAGGCTTTCCAGGCGGGACTCCCGGAGTGCTCCGGGCCTCTCTGGCTGCTTCCAGACACACGGCTCCCGGGGCCACCGGTCCGTCGGCATCGTGCAGCCGGCCCCGTGTCCCTGCCTGCTGCCGTCCCTCCCTTTCGACGAGGGAACCCAGAAGGCAGGCGCAGGGTGCAGGAGGGGTCCCATGGAGATGCTCACCCTCCCAGAGCCCCCATAAATGTGGCGGACAAGGCCGCTGCACAAGGCCAGCCTCCTCGGGGGCACTGTGGCTTCCAGGCCTGGGGTGGGAGCAACCAGGCCTCTGGCTGCTTTTGCCCCCTTTGGAAGGGAACCCGAGCAGCCCTGCGCGGAGGTTGTGGGCACGCGGCCATTTTGCGGTGCTGAGTCAGATCTAAATTTAGTCAGACTTGGAGTAGGTCTGTGGAGTCAGCGGGGCTGCATGCTGATCCCAGTGGATCTCCTGGAAGCCTGACTTGCCGGCGATCCTGGGAGGGGCCCATCTGAGGGCGATTCGTGCACATCTGGCACAGCAGCCCAGCCTGGACATCTGCCCAGCCCGCCACTTCCACGGGTCATCGGCCACTGGCTGGGCCGTCCGTCCAGAGCAACCAGGCTTCCCTGCAGTGCAAGCAGCAGGCGCGCTCACGGGCAGCAGCGGCTCTTCAGCGCAGTCCTGCAGCGTCACAGAATTCCCCATGCTCAGGGGTGGCTCTTGGGCCCCACCTGGCCTGCCTTTGCCCGGATCGGGTAGCGGGCAGGGCTGGGCTGGGCTGCTTTTTGTTCTGCTGGGGGGGGATAGAGGTGCTTTGGAAATGGACAGAATCCTAGAAGAGTAGGGCTGAAGGGGGCCGGGAAGGGCACCGAGTCCAGCCCCCTGCTGGTGTAGGACACCAAGTCCCACCATCCCGCTCAGAGGGCTGCCCAGTTTCTTCTTGAATGTCCCCAGTGTGGGAGAGCCCCCCGCCTCTCTGGGCAGCTGGTCCCACTGCCATATTACTCTGGCAGTGAGGAAGCTTTTCCCGGTGTCCAGCCTGAATCTGGGTTGTTGCAGCTTGAATGGCGTATCCCGTGTCCTGCTTCCATAGCACAAGTCCAGCCTTGCCTTAGCGTGGCTCGTGTGCGTGCGTGCGTGCGTGCGCGCGCTCCAGGTTTTGCGAGTGTGGCGTGTAAGAACGAAAGCTGTTATCAGTTCGCTGCAGAAACTGTGCAGGCATTGTTAGCTGTAACCTTGGTAGGAAAACAATGAATTGTTCTTCAAGGGCCGAGTAAGCTGCAACGATGAGAGAGAAAGGGAGAACCAAAGAAACGTGAACTTCTCCGTAAAGTCCCTTCTTCTGAGACTTTTGCAGTGACTGGGCTTGGAGGAAGGGCTGAGTATTCAGACAGAGCCGTGGGAGGGCAGGTCTCAGCCACTGGCAGTCCAGCTTGTCTAGAAGGCATCAGGCTGTGATCCAGAGCTGGGGTGCAATCCTCGGATCCTGCAGACAGAGCAAAGGCCTACAACTCCCAGCATGCCCCAGCCATGGCATGGTTTGTAGGGCTTTCCTCTGGCTGCACACCCATCGGACTGAAAGCTGCTGGGCGCTTTAGCACTGCCTCCTAGAACCCCGGCTTTCTGCAGCACTTAAACTTATGACAGAAAATAACAGCACCAGCCTTAGAAATAATGCCCTCTAGGTTGCAGAAATAACTGGAATATAAGGCTGTGAGCCGGGATGGGGCCAGGAGTGCATCGTGGGGGTGGGGGGGTCCATGGTCTGGGTGGTACATCTGGGGAGGTTTGGTTCAGGGCTGCCAGGAGGAGGGGCTCCGAGGTGGGGCGGGTCCCATCCTTAGCCCAGTGCCATTTAGAGCGGGAAATCCTGCTCGGACCGAGCGGGGCCTCGAATGCACGCTGCACCGACGGGCGCGCACCTCACGTGGGCTTCCTGGCCAGGCCCCATGCCAATCTGTGTCCCCTCACTCCTCCCAGATCGCTGAGACCTACGCTTTCCTTCCAAGAGAAGCTGTGACCCGGTTTCTGATGAGCTGCACAGAATGTCAGAAGAGGATGCATTTTAACTCCAACGGTGTGGAGCCCAAAGGTAAAGCCAAGAGCCATTGGCCTCCGATGGGGGGGTGGGGGGCTTGGTCTTCGCCGTGCTTGGAAACATGGGAACAGAGCGAGGCAGAAGGGACCTCCCGGGCCATCTAGTCTGACCCCTGGCTCTGCTCAGAGAAACATAGAAACTGAGAGAGGCAGAAGGGGTGCCCCAGGCCATCTAGTCTGACCCCGGCTCCGCTCAGAGAAACATAGAAACCGAGAGAGGCAGAAGGGGTCTCCTGGGCCATCTAGTCTGACCCCGGCTCCGCTCAGAGAAACATAGAAACTGAGAGAGGCAGAAGGGGTCTCCTGGGCCATCTAGTCTGACCCCGGCTCCGCTCAGAGAAACATAGAAACCGAGAGAGGCAGAAGGGGTCTCCCGGGCCATCTAGTCTGACCCCGGCTCCAGCCGGCTCTGCTCATGACATGCCCGCCATGTGCATGTCTAGCCTATCCTTGAACACCCGCACTGAGGGGGCCTCACTCCATTGGTAGAACATCCCTTAGTGGTTGTAGAAAGTGATTTTCCGTGTGGATGGCCTGGCACAGAACTGTAAAAAAGGGTTTCTCACAGAGCATTTGCAGCCCTGGCGTCCATCCGAGTAAAGGTGCAGGCTGCTGTTAGAGATCTGGAGAAATCCTGTTCCCACTTTTCTTTTCAAGTTGTCCTGGGCAAAGCAGTGCCCCCCAGCGCTGGTTCCTCGTCTATAAAACGGGGCTGCCGGCGTGCCGTGGGTGCCGTGAGGAGGAAGCCAAGAGGCTGCAAATGCTTTTGAAACCTGGAAGTGCGGTATAAATAGTTAATGGAGCTCATGATGTTGGAGACTTTTGCATCGGGGGTTTCTTAGCTTTTCCTAAAGAGCGTCTCTTGAGAAGACACGGAGGGGATCGACGGGGAGCCGCTGCCTCCATCCCCCTTCCCCAAGGTGGCCCTCCAGGAGCACCCTGCTACTTTCTCTGCACCCCTTTCCTTCCCTGCTTGGCCCTGGCGGCCTGGCTTGGATCTTTCAGGTTTGGAAAGCTCCCGCTGCAGAAGAGGAACGTTGTAAGGTTTTAGGGCCCCCGCAGAACGCCCCCCTGCACGCTTAGCCCGGCCTTTGTCAGGGTCCGCAGGGCCTGTGGTTAAGCGTTGCAGCGCTTGCGCTTCTCTCTCCCGCCCGTTGCGTGAGGGTCTGGCTGCGGAGGCTGCGGCCGGTGAGGGGCTCGGTGGCTTGTCTCCTCCACAAGGAGGCTAGGCCAGAGTCCCTTGTCCCAGCAGGTTCCCCTATAAAAACGCTCTGCAGACCAAACCTTTTTTATTTTTAACCCTTGATAGGTAAGTTCTGCTGCTTTGCCAGAAGCAGCAGGTCAAGACAAACGGCCTTTTGTTCCGAAGCGCCACGGCGTCCGCGCAGGGAGAGGGCAGCGGCGGAGGCACGGTGGCCACCTGTGCAGGAGGGGTGGGTCGGAGCATGTTTGGTGATCGGCCCCCACAAACGCCCGGGAAAGCTCTCGTGGCCGCGAGGGTTGCAGGCAGGCGAGAGCTGGGCCTCGGCTCTCTTCCCAGGCCCGCTGGCGGAGAGTTTTTCCTGCCCTGAGCGAGGCTAGGGAGCACCGGGGGATGCAGCAGCCGTCTCCAGCCCGGCACCCTCCAGGTGCCCAGGTATACTGAAGGCCCTGCTGGCTGTGGATGGTGGGACTTGTGATCCAAGGCAGCTGGAGGGCACTTGATCGGCAAGGTTGGGCTTGAGGCAGCTGTGGGAGGGCAGCTCTCTCGGAGCTCAGCAGAGACCCTGGAAACCAAGCCGGGGCAGGCGCAGAAGTGAGAGGTCGGGGGAGAGACGCAGGATTCTGCGACCTGATTCTGCGTGGTGGGAGCCCCAGGCCAAGGATCCTGCTGCACTGTGGCTTCCCTCCTCAGAACAACCCCCCCCCCCCATTCCTGTTTATGTGTTGTCTTGTATATACGAGGCAGTAGAAACTTCTTTTCAGCTGTATGTTCAGCAAAACTATATAAACTTAAAGCCAGTTGAAACTGGCCTTTTAATTGTTTTGGAATGCCAGGACGGGAAGGACCCAGTGTGCCTATACTGGCAGGGGGTTCCACAGAGAAGGGGCCACCAATGGAAAGGCCCTGTCTGAAGGCAGTCTGAGGAGTGGGCCTCCGGTGCTGGCCTCCAGGAACGGGCAGGTGAAGTGGTTGACAGAGCAACCATTCCCAAAACCGTTTAGGGCCTGAAAGACCAAGATGAGCATTCTGGAGTGTGCCCTGGGGCACCCTTGTGCCCTGTGCTCCAGGCGGGAGGTGTTCTTCCAGGCTGCCTGGGGCTGCGTGCCAGCCCCTCGGGCGCTTACGACCTCTGCCTGCGGCCCACGTGCCCTTCTCTGACCCAGGCACCGGCGCTGGCAGAGGAACGGAGCCCAGGAGCAAGGCACCCGCGCAGCGTAGCGTGGCTGCGGAAGTGTCGGCCGGGCAGGTCCAGCTCCTCTTGGGCTCTTCCGTGGCCAAGGTTCCACCCGCCCCTCACCTGTGCAGACGCTCGAGCAGAGGCACACGCTCTGTGTGTGAACAGGGAAACACGAGAACAGAGGAGTGGCCCGCTCCCCTCGGGCCTGGGATGGGGCTTGGGTGTGCGGCCCAGGAGGCAACGCGGAGGTCGTTCAGCTGTCCTCGCCTCCCAGAGACATCTTTCTTCTCCCGTTTTCTTGCAGAAAATGAGCCCCCCTCCTCCCTGGTCTCGGGCATCATCGACTACAATATGCCCCTCACCTCCACCTACCTGAAGCAAATGAAGCTGCGGGTGATGAATTCCCAGGAGCAGGTGAGCTGCCTTTTCTCCTTGCATTCCAGCAAGAGCGTGGAAAGTCTGCCCTTCCGTGGTACCTTTGGGGGCAGCAGCCCCTGTGTGCCAAAAGAGGGAGGGAGGGGATAATCGAGTGTGGATGTGTTTGTGAGATCCAGGCAAGGTTGCCCTGTCCAGCCCCGGGTCCGGCTGGGGACAGAGGACGTTCTTGTGAGTTGACTGGGCCAGCTTTGTGTCTTGTGCAAAAGATCGTGGGCTGCAGCCAGAGAGAAGCAAACGTCGTTCATTCCCTTGGGAACAGGGAGATAAGCAGGTTCTGTCTCTGATCACGGTTAGAACAAGGCTGGAAAATAATTTCAGGGGAGGCATCGGTGCAGAGTCGATCGAAGTGGAATCCGGCAGACTGCATCCCATCTCTGTGCAGCAGAAAGTCTGGATGACGCAGACCTTCTTTGCAGCTTAATAGTTAAACCCAATTAACTTCAGTTAAATCTAGACTAAAGTTAAATATGCAGGATTGGAGCTAGAATATACTTGAAGAGCAAATGACCGAAGTGTGGATTTAGCATCAGGACATGCCTTAGCTAAGGTTCTGAGGGCATGGAAGGGCAGAAAATGTTTTAAACCAGGCTTTAGCAGGCCAGGCCTAACCACACATATCAGCGTCTTTAACTGGAAGCAGAGGACCGGGGAGGGGAAGGGCTTTGGACCGTCTCCTTTCCGGCTGCTTGTCCTCTTGAAATCTTCCTTCTCCCAGCTGTTTCCCTCTTCCCAGAGCGAGGGCCACTGGGCTCGCCTGTCCCAGGACGGTCCGCAGGGAATTCCAGAGCCCTTTAAGACCAACTTCTTTGTGATGGCTCTGTGTGAAGGGGCTGCTTCCTTTAACTGGAATGTCGTGTGGCTGGGAAATGTGCCGTGGATCAGGAGAGAACTTGCGTGCCAGTGCTCGTTTGTCTTTTAACGTGATGGCGCCCGGCACAATGGATTTCTGAGAGAAATCGGGAGATCGGGCACGGTTCTGTGTTTCGCATGGGCTGACAAGAAGCCACGGCGTGTTTTGAGGAAATCTGGCTTGTCACTTCTGGGTTTCCATGCAGCTTTGTATTCATATGTAGGAGGAAAAGAACTTTCACCTTTTAATTTTTTTAGCACAGAATAAGCCAAGCCAGGCTTAAAGAGGATCATTTGTTTAGGAGGAAGAGAGCAGAAAGTGTCAGAGGGAGTAATCTGTTAAAATGGAATAATCCCCTCTCAATCGCTTTGGCCTGAGATTCAACCAAATGTTTGTAACGTTACTGTTGTTTTCCATCTCTGGCTGGTGACCTGCCTCTTTGGTGTTGTGAGTGCTGAAGCAGGCGCGGAAGCTGGGCGTGAGCAATGTGTTTACGTGCTGCTGGTAAAATAAATACTACAAATAGAACGCAGTTCTTTCTGTATACCTGGGCACTGCAGTCAACATCCGAGGCCGTCTTCCAAGTGCCAGCATGGAGGGAAGCTGGGAGAGCAGCAGCAGGGGAGACGGTCTCTTCAGCGGTGGCCCCTCCATCTCTGGAATGAGCTCCCCACAAAGGCCTGCCGGGTGCCAGCCTTGCCCAACATTTGAGGCCAGGTTAAGGCTGCCCTCTGAACTCAGGCATTTAAAGAGATACGAGGACAGTTAACGGCTTGAGAGAACAACCCTTTCCAGGAGTTTTAGAAGTCTGCCGGCTGTTTTAAAATGTTTAGCTATTTTAGAAATTATTTTTAAATGTCTGGATTTTGGAAAATGTTTATGGTGGTCGATTGTACTGGGTGTTGTAAAATTCCAGAGAGCTTTGGCTTTTGGATGGTATAGAAATAGATGATTAGATTGATAGACAGATCGACGGATCGATGGATAAACTAATGCTGTCCAGTGGGTTTCTCTGTTTCTGCACCAAGCCCTCCCTTCCCATCCCCTCACGACCTTCCCTTTACTGCGTTGAGCCAGAATGTTTTGGGATGGTCTCTTTGAACCCAGCAGCCCCACCCCACCTTAGCTAGATTAAAGCCAGAGTGGCAGCAAAGGTAGGACGGTTTGGTTTTCTGCTCCAGTGTCTGAGTGGCAGCCCAGTGGGGTCATAAAAAACGTACGATATTGGGTCTTTCCACCTACTTGCATCATTTAATTTCCAATTCCACAAGATAATTACATGCAAAAAGCCCCAATTAACTTGCAGAATTCTCATCCACAAGATGTGGCTTAAGGTTGCTTTCAAAGTGGATTAGAGAGATCCGTCCCGGAGAGCTGTTCAGAGTGTGTCAGTCACGATAGCCAGGATGTCGGTGTCACAGGGGTCATCCCGGGCTCCGTGCAGGGTGTCCAAAGTGGAGTGACCCCAGCAGATGGCTGCCCAGTGCCTGCTTGAACACCCCTGGCCTGGGCAAGCCCCCTTCCAGATCCTTGGTTACGGTGCTGCAGGGCTCTTTCCGTTAAGGGGTTCTCCTAGTTAACGTTCACCCCTAAAACCTCCCTGCTAAATGGGCCTCCAAGTCCAAAGATGGGCAGCGAGTTGCCTTCATGCTGGCATTCCAGGTGTGCTTGAGTGACCGCCCTGGAAAACAAGGCATGCCCAGATGCAAGCAAGCTTTCCTTAGACTGGGCTTTGCATTGGCCGGGAGCCTGGCTGCAGCATCATATTTGGGGCAGGAAAAGTATCGCTTTCCCAAGGCAGGTGACTTTGTGACTCGGGGCTCTGCTTCTCCCCCTTTCGATTTTTTTAAGGTCATATTTTTGCTAAAAATGCTGTTAAACAAAAGAAAAGGGAAAAGTACAACTACACTGATTTTAATATATTAGTTTCAATGCATGCATATGAAATACCCTTCCAGTATTGTAATATTAGTGTTTTGGCTGTCAAAGGGATGCGCAGAATCCATTTGGCTGCCTCCGGGTTAACTGCCAGAGAGCCAGCCCATAATTTAAGAGGAGGTGTACGTCAGTAAATATTAAAGAGCGTTCCAGAATCCATAATGTAGGGCCTGACTCAAAAGCAGCAATGGTTGGAATTACAAAGCATATAGTTATGCAATTTCTGTAGGGTTTGGTGTGTGACTGAAAGACATTAGCAGCAGACAACTTAGACACACTTGCCTCGGAGAGGTGTAGCAGCGTCCAGCAGACGCGGTCCAAGAGATTTGGCTGAATAAGATGCAACCCAAGATCGGTCGAGGCGCTCGAGTGGCACCCCACTGAGCAGGCAAAATAGGGCAGCCGCGGTTCCCACCCCATTCCTCCTCCAGGCCTCATTTATCATGGTTATTTGCCAATAGGTGTGTATAAACATAGACGGCGAGTCACAATAACTGAGCATTTCCAGCAAGGGCTTCCAGCGGGGAAGCTGCGAGGGCAAGAAGGCCAGCCAGGGTTCGAACCGGAGTTGTCGTGGCCGGAACAGCCCTTCGGCCATGCATTTAGCGTGCAAAGCCGTGAATGGTGAAAGCTCATCAGCAGCACCCACCAACTGATCCAAGCCAAAAAATCAACTTATCTGTCCAAATCCGTAAAAACCTTTTCTTACTAGTTCTTAATTTCCCCACAGAGCCAATTTAGCACGAGAAAATGGATCAAAATGCAATTGATGCGACCGAGAGTCACACCTGTGGGAGGTTCCTATACATTTTTATGCATCGAGGCCCTGATGATGTAATGGGGGGGGGCAGAAAGCCAAACCCCACCTTCTCTGATGGGGAGTTGCTTCTTCTTCCAAGGCATTTGTGGTGGGGAAGGGGCTCCCCTGCAAAAAATTTAGGGAGCAGGGCACCAAGCGTTAGCACCGTTTGCCAGGTAGAGAGAGGGGGCTCCCACCGTTCTTCCCCCTCATTCGAAGACCGGCTCACTTCTTGGAGACACAGGGAGGAAACACCCTCCGCTCTACTCAGCAGCTGCTCTTTGGAGCTGATGCCAAGGAGTCCTGCAGGGTGGTGGGTGGAGGTTCCCCCTTCCTGGGGGCGAGTGGCTTCAGTGGCCCCGGAGCTCCCAATTCTGTGCTGCACAAGAAGCAGGCTCTGCATCTCACCTGTGTGGGCGCTATGCAGGTGTGAGTCTCGGCGGGCCGCCACGGAGTATCGGCCGCGTCCCGGCCTGGCATCGGGAAGGCGAGGTCAAAGCAAGCAGCAGAACTCTTCCGAAGCCGCCTCCGCGGCAGCCAGGAGGGACTCGGGCCGTCCGCCCAGGGCCCTGGCTGCCCCGGGAGCTCAGCTGGCTTCCTGCCGGCCGCTCACAGTGGGTTTGCACACTCTTTGTATGCTCTTGCCACCGCAGGGCCCGGCTTTTCCTCCTCCGCACGCCCTGCCAGTGATGGCGGATGTGGGGGCAGGCACATGGTCTCTGTCCCTGCCCAAAATTCTCCACGGACTTGAGCAGAAATCCAGGGTGTGTAGGGAAGGAGGGATGTCGGCCCGGGAGCGTGGGAAGGAGGAACGCCGTAGAAGCCGACGGACGTGAGTGGGAGCGTAGCCTCGTTCGTGTGGGCGGGCATTGACGCCTGGCGTTCCTGTTCCGCTGGCGGAAATGCGCATTTACGGTGCACGAAGGGGAGGCAAAGGCTGCTTGTTCCCGGTGCTTGTTGGTGCTGCACCGAACACAGGTGTAAACAGTTGATGTTTATTTATTAGGGTTCCGTGACAGCTAATTGACACCGCTGTTAAGCAATGCAAATGAACCTTCCCTTGCAGGAGGGGGATCTCCAAACAGCACTGTCCTCTTCAGGGATACTCGTATTGAAATAAATTTAAGAAGTTAAAATTTAGAAGTGCTTAGAAATAGGGTAAGATGATGAGGATGATGATGAGGAGGAGGAGGAGGAGGAGAACCCATATGCGTCCATATTTGCCCTCCCGCCCCCTGAGATCGGCAGGAGAGGCCCTTCTCCGGGAACCCTCCGTGAAAGAAATTAGGAGGGTGGGTACCCGGAGGAGGGCCTTCTCTGTGGTGGCGCCCCATCTGTGGAATGCACTCCCCAGAGAGGTCCACCTGATGCCATCGTTATTTGTTTTTC